GGTTTTTTCTTTTTTTTTAGAAGGCTAATAAAATGAAAACTCACATAAGATGAAAAAGTCACAAAGATGAAGAAGAGAAAAACCAAAAGATAGAAGTAGATGGGATAGATAAGAGATGATCACAAAAAGAAATAACTTAAGATGAAAAAAAAAAGAAAGGACAAGAATTTGAACCAAAACTAACAACCAAAGCTTTGATGCCAATCTGATAGAGAACAAAGAAGCAGAATCATGCTAGTTTAGGGACAAAATCCTGACACAACAAAACACAAGAATCAAAAAGAAAGAGATGAAATTTATGATGAAAATAAAGAAAGATATGAAATAAATAATGGGATAATGATCAAAAAGAAGATCCTTTAAAGCATTTGCCTTTAGGAATCTCACCCTTTGAAGACACCATAAGAGTTGACCATACTTTTGATCACAATCTGTTTCTCACACGAGATGCCATCATAAAGCACTAAGGCTCACAAGAGTTGTAAACTCTAAAATGAATAATTTTATTCAACTTCTTTTTTGTTTACAAGAGGGAGCATGCCTAATTTATATAGGCTCATTGAGAAAAATATTTTCTAAAATTAAAACCATAATTTTCTAATAGTAAAAGAAAAAATAATGATAAAATATTCAGTCACATAATTTAGAAAATGTGATCCTAAAATTATGGGATTACAAAATTTAGAAATTAATACTATAATTAATTCTAACCTTTGACTAGACTCAAAATAGGAAATCAAACCAAAGGACCATTAAAATAGGAAATAATTTAGGAGACAATCAAGGGATCATAAAGGATTTAAAATCACGCCACTCTTGATTTTTTCACTAGGGTTTCATGCCTCCTTACTTGCAAGAGGCTCAACTTGCAGTCTTCCTTGCATTAGGTTAAGGTCTGCATCTCTTGGGTTTGACTCTTCATGAGTTTAGATCTTAAGTATATTATACATGTATAGATGCTCTCCTTTGGGCTTGAAAGGAGTGCCCCAATGCTCTCCAAGCTCTTGAACTTCTTGCACAAGACTGAACAAAGCTTGCTTCATGGTTTTAGTTTGAGCTCTTGTCATTGGACCTCCAATATGTTGTAATGGATTTTTAGGTACGTTGGAGTGAAAGTATTGGGCTCTTTCCATGTCATCATGCTCATGATTACCATCCTCAACCTTCGTTGTCATTAATGCTATGTCATCCATGTCATGGGGTCCATCATTTACTGTCACATAAATATAAACTTGATTTCTTTTACATTCACTCGCTACAAAGTTATATTATTAAAAAAGTGCTCTACCAAAGAGTGCGTAATTGATTTATATATACATACAATGTTCGAGGAGTTAGCAAGGTGTCAAAGACGATTATATTGAAAACAAAATTCACATTTGGGTGATCAAAAGCCGGCCAGAAATCAAATAAAAACTAGAACTGTAAATTAAAATTAAATTATATATGTGCATGAAAATGAATTATTAAGTAGATTAATTAATTAAAGTTAAAGCTTGGCCGGTGCTCATTGAGATATCAGCTGCTCATAACACATTTTGGCTTGAATCTTTCTCTCTGTCTTTTCCCATTCGTCAACTTATGATTTAGCCCGTTCATAAGAAGATGCACCTACACACACATGCTTGTTAATTAAGCTATATATAGAGGACACACACACACACACACCCTGCGGAGCACATTCATTTTGTACACTGTGAAGTGGACTATATTGCTCATCAATAGCGAAAAGGAAGGGGGGAAAATAAGAGGCGTACACTAACTCGAGGTATTGGGACGGTTCAAACCAATCGTAGCATCGAACAAAGACTTGATTCTATGGTTTGATTGAGCCGCGCCAATATCGCGCGTCTTGTATATATAATATATCTACTAAATTTTTTTCCCTCTATTTTGGGGCAGCTTGATCGATGTTGTTGATGGGGGCGAGCTTTGAGGTAGAACCAGCCTGATGAAACTATGAAAATAGTGTTGGATTTTGATGTAAAAATGACAAGGTTCTAGCTAAATATCTACAACAAGGTAAGTTCAGGTAAGCTATCAAAATTCACGACTTTTCAAGCAGGAAGAGAATATTTTTACGTTGATTAAATATGTTTTTAGTCTCTTAATTTTACATAAGATTTTATTTTAATCTCTTAATTTTATAAAATATATTTTTAATTTTTTAATCCAACACCGTTAGTTTCTTCACCAAAAAAAATTATATTAAATTTTTAAATATTGACAAAATATTATCAAATGTTAACTTATTAAGTTTAATTTTTAAAAATATTAATAATTGATACAAAAAAATAATCATTTAAAACTAATGATATTAGAGTTAAATAACTAAAGATATACTCCATAAAATTAAGAGACCAAATTGAAATTTCATATAAAATTAAAAGATCTAAAATACTCCCTCCTTTAAAAAATGTAAGCATTTTTAATTAAACCTCAACCTTCAATAAAGTAGTTATCTATTTTTAAACTAATCCTATTTTTCATATTTATTTCTATTAAATATCCTATAATAAATATAAATTATTATCAATAAGGACATTTTTGAAAAAAGGCAATAATTATACCTTAAAAGATTAATTAAAAATATCTTATATTTTTTTAATATTTAACTTTTTAAAAAATATCTTAAATTTTTGAACGGAGAGAATATATTTTAACCTTTTGCATTTATCTAGAGAAAATTAAGCATCTTGTGATTCTGTCGTCTTCATGGAAGTAATTATGGTCAAACTTAATTAGATTGGATTCTTCATGATGATCTATATACTTAAGACAGTAGGATGACGAAGAATCTACATATATATATGTATATATATGATATATTAAAATTATATGATGTATTGACTAACGAGTACGCAGAGATCTTGATAGAGTGCAAGTCCTGATATGCTTGTTATTCTTGTAATATATCGAACCCAACTCGTTTCGTATTAATAATTGATATACAGATAGATAGATAGATATGTAGAGAGAGAGAGAGACAAGGATGCAGGTTTTCATTTAAAAAAATTGACCTAAAAGCTGAAAATAAAGGGTTTTTGATTTTTCACCCAACGTATAGATGGGTTGGGAGTCTCTAATATGCTATTATCTAATGTCAATTGTAATGTTTGAAGTTCTCAATTTTTTTTTCATTTTTTTGAATCAGTGAATTCTACTTAAAATAAGAGACATATAAAGATCTTGAAGTCTCAAAATGGTAAAGATTTATATTTTTTATAATTTTTCAAAAATAAAAGGATACAATTCTAATATTTTTCTTTAAAAATTATAAAAAATATAAATTTTCATCATTTTAAAACTTTAAGATATTCAAATGTCTTTTATTTTAAATAGAATGTAATGATTTAAAAAAAAGAAAAATAAAATTAAAAACTTGAGACATTACAGTGAGCATTAAGAACACATTATATACCTCAATCCTGTATAGATATGTTTTAAAGCAAAAGAAAGATGGTGTCTATCTCAGAAAAGTCAGTATGTATTAGTTCTTGTTTTTGGATCTGTAAGCAATATCTTACATGAATACGGTCATTATCTTCGTCGTTGTTAAAGCTGACGTATAGGTAGACAAGTTTATTACTACTCTCCTTTTATTCAAGTCCTTCCAAAAAGATCCACTAATGTGAAAAGTAAAAATGGAAGCACCCTGAAATTAATATAAAAATCAGTGCAAGAACCTTTCAAATATATATATATATATATATATATGTATGTATGTATAAATGGCAAAAGAAGATATCTAAATTCGTTGTCCTCGATCGTTAATGCTTAATCGTTGTCTTAAGCATTGTTCAGTGAAGCCGCCTCCGCTAAGACTGTATATTTCTATAGGCACATTCTTCAACGATTTATATATATATATATATATATATATAGAGAGAGAGAGAGAGAGAGAGAGAGAGACTTTGAAGTAGAAAAATTGAACCCTTCAACCAACTTAACATATAAAGTGAGTAACTAAGACTGTACACATGCAGTTACATCTTTGTACAACTTTCTGATAACGGACAAATACATCCAAATTCAAGCACAAGCTAACAGCCTACAATTACAATGGTCTCTTCATTCAGTGGAAACAGGCCATTTGCCTTACGAAGACTATCAATTGTAAATTGCTATAGGCTAATTAATTTTGCCTAAGTTTTGTTTAATAAAATTTCTTCTCTGCTAGCCCCAAAAAAAAAATCTTAGTTAAAAATATATGTTAATACTTGTCTTTAAATTAATTTTTAAAAAATGAACTTCATTGTGCATTGTTTATGATTTATAATAAATTAAATTTTATAGATCAGTATTGATGTGTGTGTGTGTGTGTTTTAATATCCCTTTGTTGTCTCCGATTCTAAAATTAGAAATAATGACGACAATGTCATGGAAGAGTGGCCTTATTCCAAAAATATATAAAGACTCAAACCCCACAGGTCACCTCTTATCTTCATCGATGTTTATTGGCTAAAACAGATGTTTCATCATACTGTTGGATAAAAATATTTGGTGAAAATATTAGGTAGAATGACAATTAGGTTCTATAACAATAAATTAATGATAGTTAGATCTTTAATAAAATTTTCTACAAAAATCTAAAAGTTATATTTAATATTCAAATATTTATTTACAATTGAAACTTTTGAATTTGTAACAATTTAGTATGATATTTTCAACTTATTTTTTAAAAAAATTTATTGAGAACTTAACTAATACTAATTTAATGTTTTAGGATCTAACTATCATTTTTCCCAAATATTAATAAGTGCAACAGTATGATATTTCAATCTGTGATCATGTGGTTAAAATTTCACTCTTTTTTTTGGGCCAACTTAATTAATTATCTAGCAAGTTAAAATAGCAAGTTCAAAAATAAAATTAATTGGTTGGTTCAAGAGTTGAAGTCAAGTCATTGCCTCTCAAATAAAAATAGAAAGTTCCTTCAACGAATGGATCATATATAACCAACCCTCCTTTGTACAGCAGCCTCCAGGGAAGTCATTCATTCATTCTTCATCATTCTCTTCCCTCTCCAATTCCACAACGAACATATTCATCAATCATATCTTCTTCTTCCATGGAAAATTATTATGATTATTACTCCAAGTCCAACATGATGATTGTCTCATTCTTATTCCTCATGTTTCATCTGGGTTTGTCTCAGCAGCTTCTTGATCCAAGCCTGTCTTTAGGCAACATGCAGTGCGTGGAGAAGCTGGGTCCTTGTGAGCCGTACCTGAAGTCGCCGGGGGCCAAGTCGGGGACGCCACCGGAGACCTGCTGTCAGCCGTTGAAGGACATGATCGCCAAGGACTTGGAGTGTCTCTGTAATGTGTTTAACAGCCCTGAAATGCTTCAGTCCATCAACGCTACCAGAGATGATGCCTTGAAACTTCCCAAGGCCTGTGGTTTAGATGATGATGCTTCCAAATGCAACAAAGGTATCGATCACAATTTCAACTTCTATATGTGTGTGTGTAATGATAAATCTGTGTTTTTTAGGGTTATAACTTTATATTTCTTGTTTTATATATATATATATATATATATATTTTTTCACAATATGTATGTAAGACCTTTCTTGGTTTTTATTAATATTACACCAATATAATATTCACTTTGTTTTTTAGACTTACACACTTCTCATGAGTTCTGTTGATTATGCATATTGACCTCTTCTTAATTTTTTTTAAAAATTCACAAACTCTATTAAAAACTATTAAGACAAGATTTTTGTGAATTCAACAAACTCATTAGAGATGATATGCATTTTAGGACATGTTTATGCAAGTTTTGGAAAAAAAAAAAAAAAAGAAGGGAGAGTCGCCATGTAATTTACTTTTTGTTCTTTCTTTTAAAAAATTTGTATAAATTTTAAAAATAGAGAGCACATCTATACGTGTAACTTCAGCAAAGTTCAAAGAAATTTCATATAATTTACTCACAATCATGAATCTTAGTCATATTGAAGAGTAAATTTGCTGGTAAAACTAGTTTCTTGAAGCCTCAATGATTACACTAACGGATAATTCAATAGGGATCAAATTTCTGGATGACATATCTCAATAACACTTTCAGATAATTCTCATTATCTGTAACTCAGATGATCTGACTTTATTTAACACTAATTTTGTTGCTTTTTCATTGCAGATGCAAGCTCATCAACTAGTTCACCCAGTATGTTTCTTTTTTTTTTTTATCATAATATAAACTTCTTCCTATCAGACATAAAATTTTGTTGTGTTCTTCATTTTAAAATCTGATCGATTGGCTTGATTTAATGACTAAGAAAGAAACCAAAAAGCATTTTGATCTTGAAACACAGCCCTTTTACCCATACCTTGCCCCGTTAATGTTTTTACCATGTGGGCCAGTCTTTGGTGGCTAATGATGCCACTTATATTAACATATGTAATGTACTACTTCCTTCAGTTTCATTTATAAAGCAAAGAGAGATGAATTTTTTCGATCCTAATTATAAAGCATGCTATTAATTTTTTATCAAATGTTTTCCTTTTTACTCCCATGAAATGTTGGTGTACGTTATTGAAAATTCTCTTGGAATTATCATTCATTCCTTCCCAAATTAGGACAAAGTTAAAAATTTATTAAATTTTTGGACAGAATCAATAAATTTTAAGGTTTTTCATCAAGCTAATGGAACAAATTTGAATAGGAAGACAGCATAATTTCAAAACTGTGGAAAAGATTTGTTTCCCTTATATATGAGGATAAAAAGCTGAGATGCTGTTCATTCATCACATTCTTCCATTAAAATACAGAGAAAATCTGTTCAGAAGAGTTGTAAGACGTGTCATGGAGATACAATTTCAATAGAATATATAACTAAACCCATACATGTCTTATCTTATTGACACAAAAATGTAATGACAAGCTCTGTAATTATTTGATATATTTCAGGTGGCCTAAACCTAACTGCGGCAGACACTGAGGAAAAAGCATCAAACTCAGCAAGTTCAATCACAGTGATTACTCCCTATGGCCTTGTTTTGATGTTTGCTTCAGTTTTTTCTGCACATTGCTGGGTTTAGACAAGTTCTTGGAGACTAAGCTAATTTAAATTAATTGGATTCTCAACATTTATACAAATCACATACCAGTATGGGATTTATTTCTCCTGACACCGACTTCCGCATTTCTTTTGATCTCTTTAAGAATGTATCATATGCAATTACTTAATGAATTAATGCAGAGAATCTGGATTGGAGTTATACTTGAAATTGATCAGGGAAGGAAAGGGAAGAAGTTTCTGTATACATTTATTTCTGGGTTGGTTCTTTCATGAAGAGAAAGGACTGTTCAAATCCTAGTTTTGCTGATGGGATAGTTAGGCACCATGAATGAAGAGTGCTGTGTAATTAATTTTATGATAAATGAATACGATCATATGATTACTTTTATATTTGTAGCCAACTTTTGCTTGGGGGAATTTTTTTTTCGTATTTCCTAAAAGAATTTCATATATTTTTTACATCCTAATCAATAATCATCACATCACAACATCAATAAAAATCATAGAAAATATATTATTCATAAGCTGTGAACAATGCAACTCATTTTGAGCTCTGCGTAAATGTCGAATCCACTTTAATTTTTCAGAATGGGCATTAAGACACACACATATTCAGTAAAACTTTGAGAGCAGTTGAATACAAAACTGGTGTAATTTACCTTTCTTTATGTACCAAATCCCTCTGAAAAGACACAATTATAGGGCATACAATGAGTACAGATTTCATGAGCCTCACAATAAAATCATCATTCTCTTGAGCACAATAATGAGCCTCAGTAAATGCAGGTTGATGCTGGCTATAGGGATAACTTTGGCATCCAAAAAATAAAAAAATAAAAATCAGACACTTCGTCAAAACCCAGTTTTTTCATGAAATTTTCTGGCTTCTGCCTTTGCTTAATCTGCTCTTGTTTGAATTTACTTTCAGAAATACATACAATGGTATCTCAAAATTCTTCTAAGATTGAAACAACTCTTCTCTTGGCTTTCTTTCTGCATTTTCTATTCTTCAACTTGTTAGCCTCTTGGTTAGTCAAAGAGGTACTCTCACCAATGTCAGCACTAGCAACAAAATCACAGGAACATTGTTCAGTTTGGTCACCAGATGAATCAAACAGATTAATAACATTTTTTCCTTCACGAGAAATTCCATGGCTTTGGTTGCAAAACTTGACCTCAAGCAGATCTACTGATCCATGTCCATTAAAACTGCCTTCAACATAATTTTCATTGGAGAAATTATCAGTTTCCAGTACTGATGGCTCAAAGTCTCTTAAGTCAACTTCACTACAACTTGTGCTGCCATCAGAAGATGTTATTGAAAAAGAATCTACAGATAGGTGGAAAATTTCTTCAGCTAAGTATTGCCAACGGTGAAGAAGGTCTTCTTGATAATGAGGAGGAGATATAGGGAACACAGATGAGGTCTTCGGGCTACTCTCATATCCTGAGACCTGAAAAGAGTCTGTGGCATATCTTGAAACTTCACCACGTTGCCCCTGGAGAAGTACATTTTCTGTAATTTTCATTTTGAGTATGCAATGCAGACCTGCCTTCTTTGATGCATTCCAAAAACTTTGTACAAGAAATATCCATCCCCTCCTTAAATTCTTTTAACCCAAGAGTAGAACGCTCTTTGTTCATATTTTCAACTCTATTCATCAAACCCAATATTTCAACTTCGTCATCAGATAAATGAGGATCATCTCTCCATTGACTTTCATTTCCACATGAGACAGAGTTCTGGTCAGAGCATATGCTCACGGTCTCATCTCCACTTTGAATATAAGCAAGAAGTGAATCCTTTCTCTGCTTCAAGAGAAAATATGGATTAAAATGACATATCAGTCTCCAAATAGGTCAAAATGAATAGTATTCAATTTCCCCAGAATATCATGACAAGTACTTAGAGAGAGAAAAAACGGCCTCAAACTTCCTTGTCAAAACATGAGCAGTCAGCAACACACAAAAAAAAAAAAAAAAAAGCGAATAGAACAAATTTTAATGTTATAATTGAGGATAAAAACAAGTTATTTACGCTGATTACCTACCATTTTATTTACTTTGCCCTTCCCTACAGCCACATCATTTGCAGGAAAATAAAACCCAAAGCTGGCAGGTTGCTTACGCTTGCTGGTAATTATTATTTGTCTCTTCCAAAAATCTTCAGTGCTAATTCCTTTATCACCTAACTTCAACTGATCAGCTCAATGAACAAAAGTTTGGCATGAGAAATATGTTAAAAATATTAATATAATTCCACATAAAGTTCTGACTATATTGAACATTGAATATCAATGATGCCTGCAGTTGAAATTATGAGGTACTGTAAAATCTCAAATAAATAAATACAGAAACAGAGCACTGACAAACGTCAGTGGTTACGAACGCATTCTCAGTTGTGACCATACTGTGCTTGAGCACAGAAAGTAAAACATACAAAACATGAACGGAAAGCTTGAGAATTAAGAAATCAAAACATCATTTCTCAGATTTTGTTCAAGGTTTTAGAGCCTACAAAACATGAATGACCATACATGTTGGCAAGCATGAGAAAACTGGACATTGGTGGTTAGTGTGAAAAAAAAAAAGGGAAAAAAATCGTTCCTTATGGTTGGCATTAGGAAACCAAATATTGGTGGAATGGTGGTTAACATAACAAACCCATACATTAGTGGTAATCATGAAATAGCCAAACCAAAACTCAAAACAGTATGGTGAGGAAGAACGAGGGGAGGAGGAAAATATTATAGAGACTTGGAAGCAAGGAGTAATAAAAAAGACAGTTAAAAAAAAACAACGAGAAGATAGGCAATGTTCACTCCAAGTTGTTCTCAACTTGAGGGGAACTTGTTGAAATTTGACTTTGTTCTCCTCATTTATGACTTGAAAATGATTTCCTCATTATGACTTGAAAATGATATACTTATTGATGACTTGAAAATCAAATTTGATCTCATCATTTCTGGTCTAATTAAGGGCATGTTTTACATGTGCGTTATTTTTAAAAAAGACCAGACCTGCAATTTCCTGTTTTAGCCAGACTTTGTTTCTGAACTTCATGTAACTTCTATTTTTCCTATATAAACTTATTTTGTTCCTGTGATCCGCTTTCAGGCTTATTGTCGTATAGCTTACATATGGCTATCCATTCTAAATAATTAAGAAATCAGAACATCATTTCTCTGATTTTTCTTCAAGAACTTACTATTTTTGGAGAGGTGAAGAAGCTGAACACTTATGCTCTGTACCATCGAGCACAGCACAAAGGATTTCCTTCCAACCGCAAGCTTTGAAGATATGCAAGGCCTGAAAGAAACTCTAGCTCCAATAAATTGGAAATAATATTGTAGGAGACATCAAGTCCTTCAAGTGACCTCAAATTCTCAATCCCACGCAAGGTAGTAAGAGCATTGTTCCTCAAAACTAGTTTAACAATATGACAAGAAACCTGCATGATCCAATGAATCTGGTATTGGGTCCAGAGCTTATTCTTAAATCAAAGCTACACATTAAAGAGGCAAACAATTTGTTCAACGAACAGTTAGCTTTCATTCCATATAAGTATTTTGAGTAACTCTCTAGAATATTCAACCTAGCTATAACCTGAAAATTTTTCAGAGCTTGCACATCCAGTTCCAGGAGCACTAATTTTTAAAAAGCCATAAGGAAAGGCCAGCTAATTTTCAATCCCAAAAAGTCAGCAGCCATTCCATAAAACTCAGAGCTACAAGAAGAGTATCTTAAAAGAACCTAATTGATCTTTACAAGTACCTGGTTAAAGCAATGAAATAATTAATTTCAATTTAACCAGATTGGAAATTCAGAGAAATGACACAAAAGGCATGCTTAATATAAGTAGAGGGTTGGCTCTAAATTATATGAGCACATTGTCAACTTTCCATAACAAACTGTGATGGATCACTATTTCTTCCCTCGTGAGACAGTTGCGTGTCCACAACCACTTCTTTTAAGAATGTACATGATGAGATTGTCGTGAAACTAATGAACATATCATATAATCTCATACAAACCAAAATAAGTTGCTTTCCCCTCTGTAATTTGTTTTCAAGAACTCATGCTTTACCTTCAACTCATATTTAACCAACTATACGAGACTGGAAGTCTCTTCAGTATCTCCCACAATCATTAAATCTAAAAAGTAAAATTCAGTGAAACAGATTATCTGGAACTGAACCGTTGGCAATAGAACTAGTTCACAGAATTTCACCCTGCCATAGTTGGTCATTCTCGTGATTGGAACATCAAATTTCAGGCTGTCCCTCATACAGTTTCAGTATATGGGCGGTGCAGTGTAAAAACCTATTGGGTTTATTATTTATATACAAAAAGACAACCAAATATAGTGATAATCCACTGATGCCAAGTCAATGACGAGCTTATTGAGTCACAATGCGGCATCACGGCCAATTCCACAACAGACAGGCTCCAACTTGCCTGTTGTCCAACAACTTGATTGTCTTCACAGGTCAGCAGCCACCTAATCCTACTTTGGTACACCCACAATCTCAATATACCATGTACATGGATAAGCCATCCCAAATATAGAATATCACCTCAAGTCAATCCTTTTGAGCAATTACTAAATTAAAAACCAAAAAAAAAAAGTATCCCTCAGGTTTTTGGTTTTCCACAATCCATCCAGATCAAATAATTCCAATAACACATCTACAAGTAAACAGAATGTACACACATAACACACCAAGCGACATATTTTCATCCAATATCAATATGCATATAACAAATCAAAGTAATAAAACCATATACCTTGCTGAATGGCGCAGTTGTTCTCAAGTGATTAAAACCAAGGTCCAAGTGCTTCAAGCTAGCGCATTTATTAAGATTATCTACCCTAGCGAATTTGTTCCCGCTAAGGTCAAGTGTTTCAACTGCAGGAAGAAGTTGCAGAGACTCATCCATGAGAACCAAACCATTACATGCACAAGAGACGAACGACAGCTGTTTCCATTTTGGACAATCCTTTATCTCCATGATCCTGCTTGCGAATACGTGCCTCAGAGCATCCTAAAATACATCCAATCTGTACAATGAATTCCCAATGCGAAAACAAAATTACGGAAATGAAAAGAATTGTATGCTCAAATTCCAAAAGCAAAACTTTATTGTACGGGAAACAAGTTACCATTACATTCAATAATCAGTAATAGTCTAAAAATGTTGAGCAAATACAGTCATATTTAATTCATTAATACTGTTTCCAAATAAGAGAAATTTAACATGCTGATGAAACTATAAACAAAAAATTTGAGGTCAGATATTTTTTTCCCTGTTCAACATAATGCACATTATCCTACAGTCAATCTACTAACATTTGCTCGATCTCTTAGCAACCAAATGAACTCTTACATCATCCAAAGAGCAATTAAATAAAAGAATTGGTAACGCTTACTGTGGAATTGTGGCAAATGATTCTCTCCAACGTATATCTTAACTCCAGCAACCCCTTAGCAGCCGACGTCGACAAGTCACATCCCCTGAGCTCTAAAACCTTCAACCGTCCAAAGGGCAAGAAAGACAACGATGTAGGATCTCTGGCAGCCGATGGTAAGATTGAAACGACCTTCAGCGAAGTGAGAAGCCGCAGAATCCTCCTAAGCTGCTCGAGCGCGCGATGATCACCAAGGTCGGAAACGTAAGCTCGCAAATAGTCAACCGGCGCTCCAGAAAGAAAGCTCTCAAGCTCATGCAAGGCCTCCAGCCTGGATTGGATGTAGAGAAGCCCAGCCGGGTTGAACTTCAACGACAAAAATCCTTCAATGAGAGGATCAGCTTGTTCCTCCACGAACTTCACCAACTTTTCCAGATACCGATCTCCAGTCACGATCGTCATTTTCTTGTATACACAAAGGCGACCCCCTTTGCCTTCAAAGTCGTATTAGAATTTTCTGAGAAGAGCCAACAGCGTCGTCGGCGAACTGCAAGGAAAACTTATGCACACAGAAAAACACGAATAGACATAATAGATGCAGAGGAATAATCATGGAGAAAAAAATTTAGAAGGGAATCTCAACGAAGATAGATTTTCACTGCGCGCAGAGACAGAGAGAGAGAGAGGTGGTTAGCGAGAGGGAGGCGTAGGCTAATGAGATGAGAAAACGGCCATGTGTACGGATGACTCAGTGAGAAAAAGAGTGAGTGTGTCGTTTTCTGAGGAGAGAGGGACGGTAGGGGCAAAGAAACATGGGATTGGTGTATCATTTTGTTGTTTGAGTGTTATTTTAAAAATAAAACAAAATGACGCTAAGTTGTTTTTACTCCAAAAGAAATTAAAAGAAAAACATAATTTTAAGCTGATGTTTTATTATTAATTTTTGTATTTTTTTAATATTTTAAGTTTTTATACTTTATTTTTTTATTATTTTAAATTCTTTTTAAATTGTAGGAATCTAAAATTATATTATCTCAAAATTAAACTAATGCTAAGTTGTCTGCTTGAGTCATATTTGATTGAGTGATGCAAAAGTACAATCAAGATGGATAAATGTAATCAAATGTGTGATTTGATTGGGTTTTGTGGTTTTAATCAAAACATAAATCAAACTAAATCATTTGGTTTGTATAAAAAATGATACTTAATCAATTTTTTTTTATTAAAATTGGTTTGGCTTGATTTCATTTTTAGGTGCTTTGCTTCAATTTAGTTTATACATTGATCAAGTTTTAATATTTTTAATATATAAAATAGACACTAAGATTGACCATAATTTTTGAATCTTTTTTCTTTCATATTTCAATTTTAAATTACATTTTGACCTTTATCATCAATGAAAATGAACAACATATTCAAAATAAAAATATTTAAATTTTATTATCAATAAATATTATAGCATATACATTAGTAAGTAATATGAGTTAAATTTCATTATAAATTATTTTAATATCCATAATGAAAAGTGACTTTTTTTTTGGGTAGAAAAAGTAACTTATTTTAAATAGAAAGGGGGGGAAGTTCTATGGATAAAATTTTACTAAAGACTTTTGGATCAAATTTATTAAGCTCCTAAATTTTTGATATGCCATTGTGAGTTAGGAATACTGATTTAATATTAAATTTTGAAAAAAATGACAAGATTGCCCCCCATAGTTGGTTTTATGTTTGAATGACTTATTTGTAACCGTATCATATGTGGTTCGTTGCTCTATCAAATATCATTCATTTTTTTAATTCACTTGTTTGTTACGATACTCTAGCTTAAAAGAATTACAAGTGTTTTTTTTATGTTTAGATGACTTGTTTGTGACTTTATTATATGTCGTTTATTATGCTATCAAATATTGTTTATTTCTCCACTTTATTTATTTGTCACAACACTCTAACTTAAAAAAATTTTAAGTGTTGATTTCATGTTTAGATTACTTATTCATGACCTTACTATATATGATTCATTATCTTATCAAATGTTAATTTTCCTACTTATTTGTTCGTTACAACACTCTAACTTGATTATGTTATTTTTTTTCCTTTCAATAAGGAGGCAATTTTGTCATTTTTTTCAAAAATTAAATATCAAATAAGTATTCTCAACTTACAATGATATACCAAAAATTTAATATTTTTCTTTTTTAATAAGTCAGGTCCAAAGGTGTTCAATAAAATTTTTCCATTTATACATCTAAAATGATCTAAAAGATCTTTCTTAAAGGAAGGCGAGTGAATAGCCCTACAAGCATTTCTTCCACAGAGGTTGCTTGGACAAATGGTTCAATAACAAACACTCATCTTCTACAGAGGTTGTCAAAATTGGTGTCAAGTTTGAACTCGATGGTGGCCATGGGATTTGTGGAAGATGGAAACATAAGCTTTGATGACATCTCCTTCCTTCAGACCAACAATGCATACAGGAAGATGATGGGCATCACTAGCAAGACCTTTCGCTAGCTTAGAGGAAGAAGATGGAGAAGATGAATAGTTTTTTTTTTTTTTTTTTTGGGGGTGTGGATGATATGTGGAGTCAAAGTAAAATTTGATGATCAAATATTAGTCTAAGTTGATGTTAGGGAAAAATTGGACATTTTTTTTTTAAGTTTCAGGATGATATTATTTAAAAAAAAAATTAAAATACCAAACACTCCTCATAAAAAAAATTCTAGAACATTTTTAACCTTTAATCCTTCATGAAAAATAAAAAAATTAATTTTTTAATCCTTTAATTTTTAAGTCACTTATAACTTAATCTCTCAACTATGATTCACTATAACTTAATTCCTCAATTTTTGACTCGTTTATGATTTAATCTCTCAACTTTTAACTCATCTATGACTTAGTCCCTTAATTTTTGTTAATTTTCTTGTTTAATATTGGCTTACATCTCATGTTAAAAACCAAGAAGATAGTATTTTAGAGTAAAATACGAGTATTTTTTTTGTTCCTCTTATTTTTTATTCCTTTTATTTGATAAGGATAATTTTAAAAAAATTTAAAAAATAAAGATCGAATTATAAGTAAGGCAAAAGTTAAGAGATTGAGTCAAAATGGGTCATAATTGAGAAATTGAGTTATAGATAAATTAAAAGTTGAAGGATAAAAACATTAATTTTTTCTAAAAAATATGATTCAAAGTAAGTAACAAAGAGAAATATTTAGGGAGATTGAGTGCACTCGATTATTTGTAGTCTTTATAATTAAAATATTTTAAGTAATTTAAATAAAATCTTGTGTGCCTTTTTTTAATTAATTTTATTCTTATAATAAAATACATATTTAATTTTTTACATTTTTTTTCTATCTCATTAATATTAGAATTAATTTATATTTAATATTTTTTAAATATCACGTTTTTATTTAGACACACTTAAATTATGTGATATATTTGGTTTATCTAAGAATTTGCCAAGTAACCAATCATGCATATATCGATTTACATTGTTCATAAATATAGCTCATTAATAATTCCCCATGTCAATCAAATGAATTATAATTTATATATTTTTTAAAATAATATCAATTACAGTGATACACTAGAATTATAATTTTTAATCTTAACATAATATCAATATTTATGTAAAACACGGATAAAAGGACCCACCGTCGAATGAGTGATGACGACGAACAAGTAACAGCCAGCACACTGCAGAGATAACCGGCGATTCATTATCGATAGCGTCCATTTCTGTTTCGAGATTTCACATCTTATTGAAACGCTGTTCCTCTTTCCATTCTCTCTCAGAGCTCTTCAATGGCAGATCAGAACCAAAAACCAGAGCTCTTTGAACTCAACAATGGAACCATGCATGTCCTCATCACCAATGTCGGATGTGCGATCACTTCCTTGTCGGTGCCTGGCAAAGATGGTGATTCTATCTCGCTCCTGTGATTTCCCCCCACCCCCTTTTCTTATTTCAATTTTTACTGCGATGTATCCTACTGACGCGTCCTGCTGTTTGGATTTTGAAGGAACCTTGTCTGACGTTGTTCTCGGGTTCGACTCCGTGGATCCGTATCTGGTAAAATTACGTTAACCCTTCTTGAGTTTCATCACTGTTTGTGGGTACATCTATTTTGGCCTGATTAGCTCACTTGACTAATAGCCATTGAGAATCGTTGGAGAAATGTATCTCTTTCTGTTATCAAATTATGGGAACTAATAAGCAATAATCTTACGGTAATTTATTTCTCACCAATCCTCTAAATTCTGTTAATGATTTTGTTTATTGGGGACAAAAGGAGTATTGGTTATTGATTTCGCATGTCTGGTTTGTAGTTTCTGTCTTGGAGAACCGAATATTCGTTGAGTCGAACCGGTTCTGTTTGACTTTTATTCTGATACTTTTTCCCTCTAATAAATTCCTGGTGCAACTAGAACGGTGTTGCTCCTTACTTTGGCTGCATTGTGGGTCGGGTTGCCAACAGAATCAAAGATGGGAAGTTTACACTTGATGGGGTTCAATACTCTTTGCCTGTCAACAAACCCCCAAACAGTCTCCATGGTAAGAATTATATATCTGTTTAGCCTTTGCTATTCATTTCCAAAAAATTTTAGGTTATTGAAATTACCGCACTTTGAAATTATAAGTAACTGAGAAAAGGTGATGTGGCAATATGAAGAAGCTTTTCTTTCCCCCTGGAAATGAACAAATCTTGATTCACCGTATTAAAAAATTGTTTTGCCCTCTTCTGTGCATTTGATGAGCAACATATCATGTAATATGATTCCAAATCGAACATTTTTCTTATTACATAAAAACTTGACTGTTTTTCATAATTTAAATCCGGGGAAGTTCAGACATATGTCATGAATGTTATGTTAATAAGTATTGTGCGTGTGTGTGTGTGTGTGAACATGTGTATTGTTTTCTGATATGTCCATGCTGGCATTTCTCTGTGATTCAATTTTCTCAAGTCTCTACGTTGTTTATGTGTTGCTCAATGAGGATAGTTTTGAAGTTACATATCCATAGCTTCATACCTCAAGAATTGTAATCCTGGTTCCTCGTGAAGTCTTTTCTTGATAACTGAGGAACATCCTTTGATACATTATGAGCATTACTTCTCATATGATATAGCATATTATAGGAACGAAGAGGAAATAGTGGCTGGGGTTCTAACTTCTTGATAATGCTGTTTTAATAGTTCTCATGATAATTTCATGCTGTTCCATGTTCTCAGAAATGGCTGACAACGTTAAAGTGATTTTGCATAAACTTTCTTTTCTTTTTTCTTTAAATACTAATAACACGAAGAGTTAAATTTTAAAAGTTGAGCATGAAATGTAACTTTTTCTAAGTGAGGTTGCTCATTTCTAAACAGAGCACTCTTACAATGATGATATATAATTGTCATGTGTTCTGCGTGATTTTGCACATTTCTTGATCTCCCATCCTTCCTCCGTTTTTTAGGTGGTAACGTGGGGTTTGATAAGAAGGTGTGGGAAGTTATTGAATATAAGAAAGGTGAAACCCCTTCGATCACTTTTAAGTATCACAGTAAGGATGGGGAAGAAGGTAACTCACCCCCCCCCGCCCCAAAAAAATCTCTATCTCTGTTCTCTTTCTTTTATGATTTCTTTCTCCTCATATATTTTTTCTCTTTTTTCCTTATACAAGGTTATCCTGGGGACATCACTGTTACTGTAACTTACACACTCACTTCTAAGACAACTCTAAGGCTTGACATGGAAGGAGTGCCAAAGGACAAGCCCACTCTTTTGAATCTAGCGCAGCATACTTACTGGAACTTAGCAGGCCACAGCTCGGGGAATATACTTGACCATTCAATTCAGATATGGGCTAATCATATCACTCCTGTGGATGAGAATACTGTACCAACTGGTGAAATTAAGCCAGTGAAGGGTACCCCATTTGATTTTACATCCGAGAAGAGGATAGGTGACACCATCAATCAGGTCGGAATAGGATATGACCACAACTACGTGCTTGAGGGCGGCGATGAGAAGGAGGGTTTAAAACATGCTGCAAAAGTGAGGGATCCCTCAAGCTCTAGGGTTTTGAACCTGTGGACAGATGCTCCTGGCATGCAATTTTACACGGGGAACTATGTCAATGGTGTTTCAGGAAAACAAGGTGCTGTTTATGGAAAGCATGCAGGGCTCTGCTTGGAGACACAGGTATTCCCAGATGCCATAAACCATCCAAATTTCCCATCTGTTGTCGTCCGACCTGGTCAGAAATACCAACATTCCATGTTGTTTGAGTTTTCCGTTGGGTGAAATAGTAGAGTACTTTACTTTTAGGAGTGATATTGGAGACCTGGTCTGCCTACAAAGAGTTAGAGCATAAATGTCTGTCTCCCAGAATAATAAGTGCTTGCTTTGTGTTTAAATAAAAGTGCCTGTGGTGCTGCATGTCCCTGAGCTTGATGAGCACATTACGTGTTTGTTTTCACATTGCATGTTTGCTGCCAAGCCAATGATTTTAGCGAAGCGTGTGTGGGTGTTGGGGCCTGCACAGCATTTGGCTTACCATGCCTTTTTGCACTATTTCTGATTGTTATCTGCGATAGTGAAGCGTGTACTTCGAGGAAGGGTTTGAAGCTTCTATGACCTCTTGGGGCTATTGCCAATTGAACAATCTAACGGTGCTAGTAAAATCCACAAGTTAGGAAATTAAAAGGATGTTAAGGAAAAATTAATTTTTTTAGTCTTTCAACTTTTAACTCACTTGTAATTTAGTCTCTCCATTGTAACTCGTTATAACTCAATCCCTCAGTTCATTCCCTCAATTTTTTGACTCTCTTATAACTTGATCTTTATTTTTTAATGTTTTTTGAAAAAATTGTCCTTATCAAGTAAGAGGAATAAAAGAAATACTTATATTTTATTCTAAAATATCCTCTTCTTGCTCTTTGATGTGAGATTTAAGCTAACATGAAAAAAGAAAACTAACAAAAGTTGAGGGACTAAATTATAAGTGAGTCAAAAGTTGAAAGACTGAATTATAGATGAGTTAAAAGTTGAGGAACTGAGTCACAGCGAATCAATTAAGAGACTGAATTACAAGTAAGTTAAAAGTTGAAGGATCAAGATATTAATTTTTCTGAATATTAATTATGGATTTTGGCAGGAGCAACGTGGAATCAGTGGAAGGTAAAATTTTATACAAGTAAAGGGATACCTTTCAGAAAATTCCTTTCAGGTCTTAAATAAATTCCCCATTCGCTAGACAAAACTTTCAAATTTCTCCTCCCCCACATGCAAACATGAAAGATAAATTCGAAGAAAAAAATATAAAATAAAATATAAAAACTTTGTATTTTGGTCTGATTGTGGAAAATCCAGATTCATTTCGGAATGTTTGAACCGACCATTTATTGGAAGTCCCGCTGGACTTTTTTAATTTCTTTTTGGATGACCTCGCTCCTTGCAATGGTAACTCCAACAATCTGGAGGTGCACTAATCTGTCTTTGTTCTCGTAACTTTATCAAGCTTGGGCTTGCCTTTGTATTCAAAAAAAGAGAAGAAAAAAATCCAAGTTCACCAACTGTTCCTTAAGATTCTACCAAAAAAAAGTGTTCCTTAAGAATAGTGTGTCACTTGTATCATTCCTGATTTCCTGTTAACGAATCAGTTATGGCTGCTGTTAAGAGAATTTTCTCATTAATTGCTAAATTGTTATACTCACAATTTTATCCATGTATTTTCTAAATAATTAGGACACGGCCCCCTAAAAAAATACTACATAAATTTTTAATCAAGGATGACATTTAATAAGTTTTCAAAGCTATAGTATGAAAAAAACATATTTGCAAAACCTTACAGTTTTATTCAATTTTAAATTAGTTCTTACAGTTCAGTTTATTTTAATTGATTTTTTATAACTTAACCAATTAAATTTTTTTTAATCCTTAAAAATTAGAGTCCTTACATTTTTCCTTTTAAAAAAATAAAATTAAAAAATTTTATATTTTTATTAAATGATTATATGACTTTGAAATTAATTACATAATTTTAATAACTCAAAATTTATATAATTAAGTTGTCTTCTAAATATTTTTTATACACGAAAAATTTTCATTAAAAAATTATAACAAAAATGTAAAAAGTGTATTAAATTAAATTTTCTCTTCTCAATTTCGGCTAAAAGTATTAAATTAAATTTTTTTGCAAACCCTAAGAGTATTTTTGCAAAATTTAATAAATCATTATTAATTTTAGCATTCGGGTGTAACATTTAATCTATTATAAATCATTATAATAGATGAAATTATATGAGCTTAATTAAAATAAAATAAATTGCAAGGACCTAATTCAAAATTAAGTGAAATTGTAAAGATTTGCAAGTATATTTTTACGCTATAATATTGCCCTTCATTAATAATACGTGGCCGAGAAATTGATCCTTGAAACATGCGAAATCTTGTACGTTATTTCTCTTCTTAATATCCAATCAATGCTTCAAAGCACAAAGAAAGTCTACATTCACCGAAATTTACCAACCAGACATAAAGGTATGCTACCGGATTGTCTACCATGAACAATGAAAAGGCATTATCTGAAATGTTGCACAAGTGGCTAAGAAATGGGGGATCACCGGAAACAAAGCTGGAATAGGTATGCACAAACCATATTCAATTGCTGCCACACTTTCTTGGGGGCTTCCTCCAGATTTTCTCACCTCGTCCGAACCAACTCAAGTGGCAATGTTTCCATCGCCGTCTGAAAGTTCAAACAAATAGATAAATTCTGCAAGACAAACACGTTGCTGCAGACACAGAGAGTGTGTGCATGTGCGAGAGAGAGAGAGAGGAATGACAAATTTGTCAGCCATTGGGAGAAAATCGGACTGCACTTACCCACAGTCTAGGAGTTCTAGGGTCAGCCTTTGTATGTGATTTAGACAGCTCTGACTTGAAGCTTATAACAATGGAAATTTTGAACTCAATTGAGAATGGACTGCATGAAAATAAACAACAACAAAGTTTGAGGCCCTCTATGTTGATCATCTTGGGGCGTTAGATAGACAAGATTCCATATCACGTGAGGAGAGGTTAGACATAAAAAGCTATCCCTTTTAAATTATCATCAACTCCTTACTGCCATCCATGTCTATTAAGTTTTTTAGGGTAAATTACATCCCTCACCGCTGAGATGACAACTTAGTTAATAACAAAGTTTATGGCCCAGTTCAGAGGCCCAATTCAGACTTGGCATCAAGCAAAGTTGATCATGTCGGCAGATTTGAATCTTTTCAAGCAAATAGAAACAAAAGCTTCTCTTTTCTACGATTAATTGTTCTGTACCTATTTCACTCTTCACAAGACAGTCATGTTACATGGTTGGCACTGAGATAAGCAGATTATGAGTAATTTGGTGTGTAAGATATTCATGAAACATAACAAAGGATGGTTATCATGGACATAGGACTAACCCAGCTAAGATTGTCGGACAAGTCAATAGACGGGGAAGTATTACATGGATAGGCAGGGTCAAATTACGGCATATATCTCCATCTGCAATCTGATAGAAAAGTAGACAAAAATAAAGCAAGAAGAAGAATTAATATTTTTTTAAATTGAAATACTCTGGCGCATTTCCAGTGTTGCTTGCCTGGGTAGTTTGAACGAGAGTGGTTTCGGTTGCAATTTTCTCCCCGACAAGAATGGACTCAACACGAAACAAGTGAAGGTCAATGGAGTTAATTGGAACTGCAGATGCTTCTATTGTTAGCTCACCACTGATAGGATCGGACAACGAGCACTCAGTAGAGACTTTTCCAGTCACCCGAAACCCACCTGTACAGAAATATGCAGTAACACCATTGCATAAGTCATGTTTGATGTTGGCAAATTGCGATAACCTAAAAGTCAGACGAGAGGTTGCCTAGAAAAGAAATTCAAGTGCACACAAACTTTCCATGAGATTCAGCCTAAACTTTCACTACAAGGCCCATGTTACCATGGAAGATAAGAATTGCTAATTTTGTGATCTTGAAGTTGAGCTATGAATATATATATATAGATAGGAGTCATGAAGCCAATACACTTTCTTTAATTCCCCCCCCCCAAAAAAAAAAAGAAAATAATTTCAAACATACCTGATTTTAATTCATGAAGTAGAGCATGCCTTGGGTGTCTTGGGTAATGTAGAAGGTGACCATTTCTGGAGAAATTGGACGTTGTAGCAGATCAACTGAAAATTTAACAACAGAGAATGGTAATTTGTATCTTGATTGTTCATAGACCTGCTTAGGAACAAAACAAGTGTACGGAACCGAATGATACCTCTATCACTTTCGACAATGAATTCCATTGTAGTTGATAATGATTTATGCAAGTATCCTCGAGTTATATCTGCAGTGACCATATACTATTAAAAATGTTATCAATCACCATGAGTTCAAATCACGTAGACATCATGTATAAAAGAGGATGTAGAGAAATATATTCGCAGCATATAAGAAAGAGGGATAAAAGCTAACGATAACTAACAATCTCATATAAAGATGACTGGCCAACAAAGGACCTCTTTAAATTACCTGGATATTGATATTTGAACCGTGGAAAGTCTCATAGAATCTTTCTAAATCCTTGTTGGGCTGTCTCAAAATCACTGAGAATGGCATCTGTCAAATTAGTGATTGCAAAATTTGCAGTAAGTATAAAATAAGTAAACAAGTCAAACAACAAGGAGAAGTTAACATAGCATGTATCAACCCAGGTTAACCCACTTGAAAGCAAGATTGTTAAAGTATCAGAATAATTAACAAAGTAAACAGTGCAAGGAGTCAACTTGTGCACCCGCTTATGATCACCATCTGAACTTGTTAATTATAATACTTGGTCCCACTTGGTTTAGTGCAATGGTAAGTCATGTTTAGCAAAACTAGGTAGCATCTGCAAATATATGACCAGATTTCACAATTATTTATTGATATAACAGTATCCTTCAATTGAATTCCATTCTTTTAATCAAGAGTCAAGACAAATTCAAGAGAGAAAAGAGCAACAGTTTATTGGAAAAATCATAACACATGAAAAAGCTGCAAAGTGATGGGATAGATAAAAATAACTATTGAAGCATCAACTTAGATTAAGGTGGGAAACCAAAAGAGTTCTACTCATGTAACTATTCCACATAAAATTGCACTGAATTAAAACATCTCCTTTTATACACTACCTCTGTTGTACCTGGACCAATCTTTCCAGAAGAACCAACCTCAACTGTCCTCTTCCTGTTTACAAGCCATAAATAAGTATCATCTGTACTCGTTCTAATATGATTCACAGAATTTCAAAAACACCAAGAAGGAACTAGTTCCAAGTTATTTCCATATGATGGGTAATTTCCTCATGTCCTGAACTTAGCAAGGGAACGTCCAGAATAAAATTGATGGTGAAAAGCACAATTACCACTTTTACCATGAAGAGGTTTTAATTTTTCAAACTCATGAAAATTTTCCGCTTCTGATGTAAAATATGCAAGTGAAAGATGAGCAGAAACAGCAGATCAAAAACTATAAGAAACTCAACTTGATCCAAGAGAAGAGCAAATGAGGGTTGGTTTATTAGAGTATACCATGGGTTCTCCAGAAACCCACAATTAAAATAAACAAAAGGTATGACTTCATCAAAATATTGAAAATGGCTGATATGAATATGGCACAGATTTTGTCACAAGCTTCTTTTTCAGGAGATTTTCCTCCTTTGAGTGGTTCAGAGCATCTTCTTGAAAGGTTCTTTTTTACCAATATGTTTTTTAAGAAATCTGTTTGCTATTTTTCTGCACCAAAAAACAAGTCTGATTATTTTCACAAATCTTTCAGTAAATCAAACTAATAAAAATTGTGATTTACAAGTACGGAGCTACTTAACTCCATAGAAATGAACAGCTTCTTCATTTAAAATCTCGAACAGTTTCTTCCCCCACTGTATTTTTCTTTGGAAAAAAAATCACCCGTGTTTCTACATAAAGGAACTAGACCAAAAGTAAACTCTTAATACTTACACAATGGGGATTGGCTTCATAACTCCATAGTACGACTCAATAACCCCAGCTGATCCTCCCCGAACCTTCAAAAACAACATGGCAGCATGATCACCCAAGCCATTCAAAATTCAACAACAAAAAGAACAGAATGACAGACGATCGATAGTTCAACTTTCTTGTCATTTCTGAGCAATCAAACAAAACAAAGGATTCAGTAGGCACCTGCAAGTTGACGGATCCTTTGATAGTAACACGAACTCCGTTGTGGGAAATTGGAGACTGAGTCTTCACGATGATTTTGCCATCCAGAGTTTCCTGAAAGTTCCAATTAATTTTACCGAGATGTAGGAAAAAGGCTTTCGGGTCCACTTGTAGAAAGAGAAAGAGAGAAAACGAGGTATGAGTTTAATTTTACCGAAGGGCGATAGATGCGATTGGAATGTGAGAGTTTGAGCTCAACTGACATAGCAACGACAACAGAGAGCTTAATCCCGGCGATTCCCGATCAAATTGCTGCGCCGATTGCCAACGACTTCTGTTAAAAGCCTCAGAGTTCAGACAAATAAACACAAATGCGATTTTGATGCTCTACGAACACGAATAGTTGTCCGAGGCATAGCTCACCGCCACAGTCCGGGAGACGTTCGAGCTTTTATATCGTCAAGATCTCCATTTTATTATATTGCACAATCAAATCTCCCATGGAAATTAAATTACCAAGTGATTGTATTTAATACAAATGATGTTAAAATTTAAATTAATAATTTAAATAAATTTATTTATTTATTAATTTTGAGTAGAATACAAGTTTAAAATTATTGATTTTAATTTTAAAAATTTAAATCATGCAAACATTTAGTATCATATTAAGTATAGTTATCGAATTCAAATCCATCGAAAGTTTGGCTTCTCAAAATGCTGGAAAACAAACAATATTCAACTTGGCAGTTGGCACATTGCTGAAGTTTTCCCTTGGGTTTTGACATTTCACCTCCTTACATTTTTCTCCATCTATAATATTAATCCTTATATTTTAAGAGGGACATTAACATGATTCAGATGATATTAATAATGTTGACATATTAATTAACACCATTCATTTTATACTTATGTGTCAAACTGTTGTTGACATGAAATTTTTTTAATAAGCAAAAATTAAAAAAAATTATATCAAATTAAATAAAAAGGCTGAGATAGAGTAACTCACAAATTTCATCTAGGCTTTTTTTTTTTAAAAAAAAAATCTTACTAAAATTTCCATAGTAGCATTAGTATGATATGTATGCACAAAATTAGTGAAGTTAATTGACATGTCAATATTTTTAACACCAATTATATCATGTCAATGTTCTTTTAAAAATGTAAGGACTAATGTTGCAAATAGAGAAAAGTGTAGAAATCTAGAATAACGAAAACAAAATGCAAAGACTTATATCAAAATTTGAGTAAAGTGTAGGGATTAAAAATAATATTTTTTCTTTTATATTTTATATAAACTAGATTTAAAAATGTTAGCAAATATATATCCAACCAGAAAAAAAAACCCTCAGAAACCCTTAGAGCCTGGCCTAACTAAAAAAATTAAAAAAAAGTAAAATGAATAACAAAACTATGCTGCAACGTGCAATCTTGATTTATTCTATTTTATTATAATATTTTGATTTTTTAAAAGGGTTTTTGTTTTAAATACTAACTTGTCTTATTAGAATAGTAATCCACGCCAATTTGAAATAAATCAAATAGGTATAAAATTCTTTCAAAGTACTCCCCCCAGATTATAATATAGGAATTTTTTAAAAGTCTTATTTGATTTAAAATATAAAGTATTAAATAATTTTTATAATTGATTTTTTAACTATATCCCTAATTCATTTATTTAAAAAAAAATATGTATTGAAATTTTAATTGTCATTATCAAGATAGTTATATAGGATATATAATGAGAATATACCTGAAAAGATTCAATTTTTTTTAAGAAATTTAAATTTCAACTAATATTTTTTAAAAACAGTAAATTAATTATTAATATCCTGTATAAAGGTTAAGAAGGAGTGGATTCATTAATTGCTGGTAACATGTCACGCAGCTTGTCCTACTGAAAGTTTTGGGCAACAAGAGAAATTGCCTTGACCAGGTAATTAATTAGGGAGGATGACAATAAAGTCTTAAAAAGAACAAATTAATAATAAGTAGGTCCTCAATAAATTTTTTTATAAAATAAATTGCAAATATTAATTTAAGCATTTATAAATAAAAATCTCAATTGCATACTAATTTTTACATTTAAAATTTAAATATCTTATTTATAATTATAACTTTTAAATTTGTGACTCTTAAATTGATATTTACAATTGATTTTCAAAAAAAAAAAAACAGAGTCCTAATTATCATTAATTTTTTTTTCTGAAATTTAACTATCATTTTCTTAATTAATTATTCATGACGAAAGCTGAAAATGATTGATGCACTTTAACAGGGGAGGCGGTGGGTCTGATTATAAAGCTTGATCTCACGTGCAATTAGGCCCCGTAGAAAACATTCGATTTTTTAAACTTTCAAGCTTCATGCAAGTTATTTTGGACATCTAATTTTCTCATAAGGCAAAAACACAATTAGTTGTGAATACCATCATCAAAATCTACATATGAACATGATACTTTGTGTTACATAATGGGTGGCACATTCCTCTGTGGGGGGATCAGTGGGAAATCTTGTTTGTTACAGTAAAGACGACACCCAGAAGTTATAATTCAAAGAGGGTTCCGATGCTGCTGGTGCTGGAAAACTTGGTTTCAAACTTAGGGAGCAAAACTGTTTTGAGGCAGCTTGACATTTACTGTGATTCCTCCTTCAACATGTGATTCCCAAACTAGCTGTCAGGTACTGAAGCTCCATTTGGCATACTAACATCGCCGTCGACCCTGTTAGCATCGTCCGGGTTGCTTTCAGGTGGCACACCTTCAGCTACATGGCCGTCACTCATTGGAACATCTTCCGTGTTACTTTCAGGTGGTACACCTCCAGCTACATGGTCATCACTCATTGGAAAATCTTCAGTGTTACTTACAGGCGGTATATCTTCAGCTGCATGGCCATCAGTCATTGAAACATCTTTCATGTTATTTTCCGGTGGCTTATTCTTTTCTGTGAGGCCATTCGAATTCTGGTGCTCATTTTTCTCTTCGTTTGTATCCGAGGAAGGTGCTGCGTGACTAAAATGCAAATTATTTTGCTCAAACTGATGTCTCATCATCTGAGCCTGAAATAAAAGAAAATTTTGGGGGGGGGGGGGGAGATGACAACTTCAGAAATTTTTTGCTCTGGATTGAGGAATTTATTAGTCCTTAAGCAGGAGGATAAGGAATGCTTTCAAGACAAAACAAAATACACAAAACATATTTCCTCACACCATAGCACTTTCCCCTGTACCCACAACCCTAAATATGAGGAAGGAGAAGATTGTCCAAAAAATGTGGGACAAACCCATCCGTCCCTCAAAAGAATATTGATAAATGCTGAAATAAACTTGAAATGTTGCTAGTTTAGTTTGGGTGAATATGTGCACAAGGAAGTCCGAAAAGGGCTGAAATTCTCTCTTATGTCGTATTGATAATTGAAAGAGCCAAAGTACATGGGTATTTATGAACAAGGAAGGTTACAATGAGAAAATTGCAACTAGGGACATTAGGGGAAAAAGAAATAACTAGAATAATTACACAGGTCCCAACTAAGGGAGGTGAAGACTGAGGAGCTAGGATAGACAAAATGTAAGCCAGCGACCACTCATGGGTGAAAGGCAGCAAGAGGGAAAGCACCTAGCACTCTCACGCACTAGCATGGTAACTGTACTAGCAATGTTGAAGTGGCACATGTGGAGACTCGCAGTGGTCTGGTCACCATTGGAAGGCCAAGTGGCAAGTTTTGCAAAGTTCAAAAGTGCTTAGGTCAAAAAGGAATCAGGCAACTGACAGAATATTGACCTGGTGAATGTGAAAGATAAAAAATAAAAAAGACCAGAGCTTTGCTAGCATGTGGGAAATGCTCTAAGCCTTGAAAACCTAGAAGCTTATTTCTCTCGTTAACAAGGGTATCATACCATGACGAAAAATCTGAAATTCTCTGTTATGTTATTGGAATGAGGCAAAGCACGTGCGTATTTATAGATACCGAAAGCTACACTAGATGAAATGACAACAATGGACATTAGGTAATAATGGAATAAACAGAATAACCAACACCTATAACAATAAAAATTCCTAACTCGTTCATTACCATAGATCCAATATTTTATTTTATTTTTGGTTAACATAAGCTTTAACATTTTTATCTCTATAGAAAACTGATATGTCTTAGATGCAGGGAATCAAATGCAGTCCAGTTTACATATTACTTTCAAATTGAAGTATAGATGAAAATTGTATACTTCTTTTGACACAATTGCAAGAAAATATATATTTTCCTTAATAAAAAAGTCTAAACTTTATCAATTGGGATTGGTTTAACATTACCAAAGCTACAGAAGCTACAATCCAAAAGAGAGGATATAGTAGCATGAGATGAGGCATACCTGGTATAACCCTTGTATAATACTGCTCATCTCATCAATGCCACTGACAAGATGAATAGGTCCGGTATCTTCAACATGTCGTTCAGTATATGATGCAATCTCATTCAAATTAAGGGCAAGTCTGTCAGGTCTCTTGAGCAGAAGCTGAAATGTAGGCTGCAGCTCATAGCATTGTTCAAAGAGAGAACGACGGCAAAACACATATAAACCAAGTCGAGCACGAGACATGGCAACCACCAATCTTCTTACATCTCGCAGGTGACCAACAAATCGAGTACGCACAAGAGACAGCAATATAAAATCATTTTGCTGACCTTGAAACTTATCAACTGTGGTAATCTGAAAGCAAATGAACAAAACCAAAGATTAACAAGGTCAACTTTTAACATGTACAATCAATGGCAACAAGAAGCCCTTACAATCCGAGACACCTTATAATCAATAGCAACAAGGATATATAACTTTCATAATAAATAAACCAGAAGTTCTGACGTCCCATTACTCAACATCTGCTGATTTTATTGTTGCCACCCCAGATTCTTATCCTCCTGATTTTATGTTAATTGATTTTCCTATTATATCCTATTTTCATTTAGGTTGTTTTCTCAACTAATATTATGAGGAGATTCTAGCAACAAATTTGTTGTCATGGTCCCCATAAACATTCTTCCATTTCATTAAAATAAAAAAAGCTATTCAAAGCATACCTTACTAGGAGGACCAATGAAGTCATATGGAACACATCTTCTGCTGACTACATCACGGATGAGAAGTTTCTGACCATTGTAAGTAGTCAAAATTGATATCTTATTTGCTGGATATCCTAATAAACGCATGTATATATAGACACTGACAAGATATTCAGCTTCTCCCTCATTTTGATAGAACCAAGGAGAAGGAGTGGTCTCACCCTTACCAAGGTAATCTGGAACATCCACTAACTGATAGTCATAGGAAAATCCAGCGTTTGCCCTATGGAATATGGCTTCCTCCTTTACAGAAGGAAGGTCTCCCAAATCTCTGTATCTCCAATTGTAAAGTTTAGCTATACTTGGCCTGGCTCTTCCCTGGGCATTAAGCTCAATGTAAGGAATTCCCAAACGGACAAATCTTGTAAATAAACTTTGATCCATGTGGCTATACTTTTGGAAAGCCATATTCTTCACAACAGGAGGCAACTGGTGATGATCACCAATCAGGATGCAGCGTTTAAGCCGTGCATGACCATCTTCCTGTCTCTGGAGTAACATTGGAATAAAAGTCTCAATCTCTAAAATTTGGGCACTTTCTTCCATTAACAGGTTGTCGTACTTAAAACCTAACTGAAGGAAATCTTTCCTCTTCAGAGCGGCATGAGTACAGGTCATGGCAACAATTTTAGCCTGCTTGGTCATTAAGTAGTTAGCCCTATCAGCTGTTGACTTCAGTAATTCAAATGCTCGACACTCTTCAAGTTCTTGGAACACAGTCTTCAGATGCTGAAAGCACCCCTTAGCAGCTCTCAAGTCTTTCTCAAAAGATTCACCAGTAAATACTGGATGTGGTGTGTCAGAAAAGAATTCTTTGAAGGGAAAGCGATCTTGAATAAAGCTTGGTTTATCTTTGTTCTCAGCACAGGCAGCAAGAAATTGCTCCCAGCGTGAATATACATGAATCAACCAAAAGTAACCTGCAGTTTCACAAGTATAACCTACATCCTCTGGCAATTGAAGAGATCTTGCCAACCTCTCCACTTCACTCAGCAATTCTAACCGTCTGACAAGCATTGCATTAACACGGCCTTGCCGACTAAAATCAAGATCAGTTGCTAGCTCTTGTTCTCCTTGACCAAGTCTAAGAAGATAACGTGCAGGCACATCCCTCTAAATCAAATACCACAGTAAAAAGCAAATAAATAAATAAACTTATGAACAGAAGGCAATAAATAAAACCCACAGCCTTCCAAACTTTGCACACTTAAAAACACCTCTCACTAAATTAGAATTAGTTCATATTTCTAAGAAGGCAAAAAAAAAAACAAAATTAAAACATTGAAGCAATAGTTCTTGAAAGACCAAAAACAATAACACTTAATACAGCAGCAGCAACAATCCTTATCCTACAAGGTGGGTTCAGTTACATAAATTGTACGATACCATTGTGCTTTATCATCAATCAAACTTTTGAAAATATTGTTAACTAAGAGATCTCGTTCAACAACTCCATAAGTGTTCTCTTTGGTCTTTCTCTATCCTTCTTTATAGGCTTTCTCTAAACATGTCCAAATCATTTCAAATAATTTTCTACCATCTTCTCCTCAATAGATTTCACGCCCACTTTTTTCTCATACATGCTCATTTCAGATTTAATAGAGCAAAAAAAAAAAAAGAAATGAAGAAAAACGCAGTCTATAACCTCAAACCTTTTAAAAAAAAATCTATAATTACTTTGTATTTCCTAGCATCATAAAAATCTTAGATAAAACCCGGTTTCTTAGGTGTTTGCTATATAGTTTTCTCAATAAAAAACATAATATGAGAACACCTGTTCTAACTCAGCAATTGAATACTTGAATTCTTTAAGGGGGGGAAAAAGTTACTCCATGTACCATAATTTAATCAAAAAACCTGAAAACCACCACCTTAAAACTAAGTTTTCTTCAACATGTCTAAAATGTTCAAAACCATTGAGCAAGAAAAATGCACAGCATATTAAGGTTTTCTATCAAAGAAAAAAAAAGCATTAGAAAGAGGGGAAAGTACAAAGCGTAACAGACAAGACATCCTCAACTCAGAAAATAAAGAACACAACAACAACAACAACAACAACAACAATAAGCCTTTATCCCACTAGGTGGGGTCGGCTACATGGATTGCAAGACGTCATTGTGCTCTATCATTTATCAAGCTTTTAGGAATATTATTAATTAACAGATCACGTTCAATAACTTCTAAAAGTGTTCTCTTAGGCCTTTCTTACCTCTCTTAATCGAACTCAAAGTTATATGTTCCACTCTTCTCACTGGTGCCTCCCTTGGTCTTCTTTGTACATGCCCAAACCATCTCAACCGATTTTCTACCATTTTTTCCTCAATAGGTGCTACCCTCATTTTTTCGTGTATGTGCTCATTTCGAATTTTATCTTTATGTGTATGTCCACACATCCATCGTAACATTCTCATCTCTGCTACTCCAACTTTATGCTTTTGCTGTCCCGTTAGAGCCCAGCATTCACTACTACATAACATTACCGGTCTGATAGCAGTGCGATAAAACTTTCCTTTAAGTTTATTAGGCACCTTACGGTCGCAAATAACTCTTTTAGCTTTTCTCCAATTAAACCACCCAGCTTGAATTCTATGTGAAATATCTCCACTGATTTCGCCATCATTTTGAATAATGGCTCCCAAATATTTAAACTTTTCCACTTGAGGTATAATTTGATCTCCCAATTTTACTTCCAAATGATTTTCGAATAGTCCTTTACCAAATTTACAATATAAATATTCCGTCTTACTTCTACTCAGACGAAAACCTTTCGACTCCAATGTCCTCCTCCATAACTCAAGTTTACAATTAACCTCTTCTCTTGTATCTGCTATAAGAACTATATCATCCGCGAAGAGCATACATTTCGAAATTTCCCCTTGAATATGTTACGTCAAAACATTTAAGATCAAGTTGAACAAATAAGGAAAAATAAAGAACAGAACAGAAGGAAGAAAACAAAAGGCCTAAGAAACTAATGCTAATTAGCATAGAGGAGTTGCCCAATCTCTTTGCATATCTGAAATTCTTCATAAGTAAATTTTACAAGGTTAGAAATACGACATCAATGGCTGAATAAAAATAAAGATTCATAAAACACAATTTACATGTATGTGTATACACAAAATAAAATCTTACCTGCATTATTTTCTCAAACAGGTCATTCAAAGCCTGATTTGAATGAGTAATTATTAAGGTTCTTTGTGAAGGACAATTATGATATAGGACATTTAGAATTTGCACGGCTGTATCAGTCTTTCCAGTACCAGGTGGACCCACAACCATTGTTAAACCAGGTTGAATGCCAGAGATAATTGCACCAATCTGCTCCATAGGAATGTTTGCAATGCAGTTAATACAACAGGGAATTAAATGTGAGCTATGGTCATGATGGATTGCTTAAAATTATATAATTGACAAAGAAATGTAACACATCACAATCAAGAATTAAAAGAGGTTTCAGTGCCAGCAGTAGGCGTATTAAACCCAATGTAGATTTTTCAACGTATTTTGATACACCATAACCATCACACATCAAGGAAACCATAAAGGGGGTAAATGTTGCTCATGAAAAGTGATATTCTATAATTGAAAAGAAGACTTGACAGAACCTGCGTGGGTGTGAATCTGACTGAATTTTGTTTTGGCTGATCTTGGGGATAAGGGCCTGGATCAGGAGGTGTATATGTCTCAACGAGTAATTTTTCTTTCAGATGACTGGCATCATTGCCATCATTTATTACATCAGTGGTAGACACTATATTCCCTGGGAGGGCACCACTGTTTCCTTTTAGAGTTCGAGGAAGTCTGATCCGAAAAGGAGGCTTCGGATCCAAGCTCTCTGTGGCATCAGGATTGACAAAAGAAACCTACAGTACCAAGGAAGAACTAAGTCATTTGCTTGGTTTGATATATGACTCAGAAAATTTTAATCATGCCCACTCAAGAATGAATTTGTATAATCTTCAAGCAAATACAAAACACACCAACCTCATAATCTGAAAAACTTTCTATCAAGTGATCAGCATCTAAAAAGGTATCTTTGAAATCTACCATTTCCAACAGATCAGGCATATTAGTCCATTGTGCTGCTGAAGGATCCCCATATCCAAGAAATATGTTTTCCAACCACTTAGGAACAATACAGTACTCATTCATCAAATCTCTTATTGAATCTAAGATGGCTTTGAAATTGTTTTCTTTGGGCTTCCTCCTCATCAATATATTAAATGTACCATAAACATCTTCTGCCCCATTCTCTGCAATGTTGTTGACATCCATGTAATACTGTGCAGTATCCAAAGCCACAGTTATGGTTCTCAGTTCCCCCTTTGGTGGCTTCCACTCATCACGTTTTATCCTTCCAGTGAAATCATTCATAAGAGTTCCTTCCTCATCACGAATCTCAATAATTTCACATCCTCGAACATACTGAAGGCCAAGCCTCTGTGGCACACTAGCTTTAACTTCTTCTTCTGCAGTAAGAGGCTCAAATGATGGCCTAATAGAAAGTAAAAACAAAACATCATGTTCTTTGAGGGCATCCCATTCTGATCGTATCTGCGCCCTATAACTGGAAATGCTATAAGTGACTTCTGCTGTCACAGAAGATGGCTTGACTTCTCCTATATTTGGCTGCTTTACCTCAGCGATCTTGAACTCTTTGATTGGTACAGCCATTCTTGACCAACCACGGAAAGCAGTCTCTCCCTCATTATTAATATATGCAAGAAGATGTGGAACAGCTTCTTGTATATCCTCACGTATTTCATATGTTGATTCAAGTCTGAAGAGATTAAAATTTCGAAGGAGATAATCATGAAGCGTCAAGAACTGCAAGTTAAGTTTTGGCAGAGCCAAACAACCTTCTCCAGTGTAATTTATGCTTGGTACAACACTTTCATCCCACATAATCAGCTCATTTGGGTATAGTGGAAGAGAATTAATGGCTTCTTTTTGTGACTGTTGTTTCTCAAAGAACGACACCATCACTTCAATAAGAAAATCAACCCTCTCTGACCAAGGATCTCCTTGGGAAACCAATTTAAGCTGCATAAAGAGACAACAGTCAAGATCATAAATATGCTGTATTGAATTGAATAAATGGACCTTTCTTTTCCAATAATATATGCATCAACACACGATATTGCTACACAACATATCCAAAATGAATTGATGGGACCAATCCACATGAACTAGTTAGAACTCCGGCACAGCTCACAGAAAGGCCTTAATAATTTAATTACATCGCACAATCATAAATTTTCCCCTTCCTGAGGGGCCGATACTTGGATCAAACAAGCTAACAGAATTGAAGCTTTCTTACAAAAATAAAGATGTACCAAAAATTGAAGGTTCATGTTCATGTTCATGTTCCAGCATAAAAACTGCCTTCATTACATGTATCACTTAATTTTTCTCAGTAGAAATACAATGTTGCAAATCGTCCAAGATCTAAATCACCCCAATTTTGATGCAGTTGACTAAGACCAAAACTCTCTCACCAACAAAAGGATCATTCAGAGAAAATCAGAAAAGAAAGAGCAAAAAGTGAAAAGAAACCACAGGAGCAAGATAAAACTGAAAATAAAGTCCAGATAATAGATGCACACATAAATATAGCAACAATCAATCCAACTCTAAAAATTCACATATACCATAGGGGATAACAGAAGATTTAATGCCATGACTATGAAGATTATTAAAAATTTTATTCATTATTTGCACACCTTGCAGCAAACCAAATCCCTTAATTCCTCAGGAGAAAGAACCGATAGTTTCTTAGATAGATCCACACGCTTGTGAATTGAACCAATGTTAGTCAATGAAAGTTCTCTCAGCTGCAACCACCACAACAAATGAAACAGTTATACAAATAATAATAATAGGGGGAGATTGTAAGAAGAATAAAATGAACGGCAAAGATTTAAAAAAAATATTAATTCAGAATAAGCTACTTCTTTCAATGCATACCTTCTCAATCCTTTTAAATGCAAGTAGCTGAAACGATTGGAGATGACTGTAATGAGATTCAAGAACCTCATGATCTGTTAACTGTGTTCCTGTATGATCATTAATTTCAAACCCTTCATAGAATTGTAACAAGTCAACCAACTGAGCAAAAAGTTTTCCCTTTTCATGCCTATAGAGGGCGCTCAAATGGCATTTGGCCACAACAGCTATATCAGCCACAAGAGGCCTCAAGTACCTAGAGCAGAAGCAAGAGGCAGAACGAATTGATGATCAAGGAAAAGCCAAAAAAAAAAAATTACTGCATAGATGAAATGATGAAATGATCTTGCAAAAATGGGGGAGAAGAAGAAGGATCCCTCATATCTTTATGTGGGTGGAGTCCATCCTCCATCAAACCATAGTTGTAAGGAAGACCAAATAAGATATTTTAAATATGGAATAGATTACACAAAATCATATCACCTTCCAAATCAAAAATTTACAATTAAGTAATCAGAATATTACATTAACAAGACAATACAATGCTTAAGAGAACAGAGACAAGCATATTAGCATACCTCCTTGTCGGCAATTGACTCAAGAGGTCGATAAGAAATTCAATAAACCTCTCACAATACAATACACAAGCATCATCAACTGACTCCAAATTCATCGTATCAATAACTTCATTGTCACCAGCTAACTGTCTTCGAGGAAAAACCTGGGAATCCAGTATCTATATATATACATATATAAAGGCAATATGAGAATTTATGTTTAATTTTCAATGTGCTGACATAAAAGACAGATTGTATCTATGATTCAAATTCTCAACAAGATACAACCTCCAAAAATTCTTCAATGAGATTTCTCGAGAATGTCACTTCAAGGGCAGCTGAGGGATCAGAATTCCCTTCTTTCAGAGGTTCCTTTCTTACCATCCTTTTCCACTTCTTGATCAGACTTGGATTCAGACAAAGCTCTATCTGCACAAGTGAAAACCAATTCCCCAAGAATGCAATTAGCATGTATATATATGTATATATTTTCACAATTCTCCACCAAAAACAATAACTGGAAAAAGCAACATTGGAAGGCCATAAAAATACACTTTTGTCTCATCTTACCTGAAAACGACCATAAGATAAACAGTACCAAGATTTCAAACTTGCCAGTCTCAAGACTGTCATGCTGACAACCTCATCTTCCAAGCTCTGTAATCCAAAGTCAATAGCTAAGCTATAACATTCAGGGAATCTTTGGCAACAGTTTTCAACAGTGATCTGATTGTCAAGTTTAGTTCTGTTGAAAATTTGAAATGGAGAAGAGGAAACTCCATGATTACAATAAAATCAAATTAAGAAACAATGACGTATTATTATTATTGATTTCAGTTTTCCATTTACAAGATTATGATATTTAACTGAAATGTTTTAAATCAGGTAGAAAGAAACAGAATGAAAGAAATAGCCATCACTCAAGACAACAGTTAGCCACATCAGCATCAAATCAATGGCATATTTACACGTGGAAGATGGATCACTTAAAGAGTTTTTTTTTTTTTTAATTCTTTATAATTCTGATGATGAATCCTAAAAACATCGGAACATGTAAGGAGTGTGTCAGGGGGGGAAAGTAGCGTAGGGACCTGTTTAAAAAATCAAGGCAAAGTGCAAAGCCTAAATTGATAATATTCATTTCACTATCTGAACCAAAGGCAGGCCATATTCTATCAGAACAACAAAGCTTTGGCCCAAAAAGATAAAAACAGCGTATCTATGCCAAAATGTTTTCATAACATCAAAACATTGCTAACATTGCTGAAGGTAGGATTATGTTAAAGTACAATAGTCCCAAAGTAGTGAAAAAGCCATCCTTAGATGATGAAAACTTAACACCAATCATATAAAAATGCATTTGCAATATTAACAAACATGCTTGTTCAGTTATTGGTAACAAAAAGTAAATAAATAAAATGAATATGACCTAACAAAAGGATGGAGAAAAAAGCCGGCATACCTGAAAGGTGTTAATCATGAAAACTAAGTAATTGGTCTTCTCTGCTATACATAGTTCTCTTCCCTACAGTTAAATTTGAAATGTGAGATCCAGTATAATGTCTCTATATATCAGATGGGACTATCAAGTGTCAAAGGAAAGACATTTCAAAATCCAAGTCAAAGAAATGTTCTTTACCATGACACAACCAACTACAAAAAGAGATTAAATAAAAATCGTTGAGTGATTATTACAAGGACACATATACATTGCAAAACCAGGGAAAAGATATACCAAACAGCCGTTCAGTAGCTATAATTTCTTTGTTTTGATTTTAGGAAGATTAGAATAAGTAGCAGATTAGGGAATAGGAAGAGGCATCCAAAAAGTAATTATCTGGTGTATTGCAAGAATAGTCCACTCCACAAAGACTGATTATAGAACTGTTAGTGTTTCACATCCTAAAACTCATTTCACCAATAAAAGTTTTAGCTCTTTATTTCCATATTTGTTCATGTTTCTAGGCTCTCTTTTATGGGTGTGAAAATATGAATTCAGTGATAAATCTCCACACCTAGGTTGTTTAATAGGTCAATCATAAAGTATGAAACAAAGGTGGCAATTCTTAAACTTCAAATTGATAGAGGAAAATAGGGAGAAAGTTTAAACAATCTCACATTAAGGACGACCTTAACAAAAGATACCATTCTAAATCATCATGTGTGAGACTAATGTACCTAAATCAGGAAATACTTTACCAAGATATGCAGTGTAAGTAGACAAATTAAAAGGATGGCAACACTGATGGAGATTCGTCAGATTGTGGTGACTAGTAAGCAGTACTGTACATAAGCAACCCACTCAAACCAGGACATATAATTGAAAGTTGCACCTCTTTGTAATGCATGACTGAATCTTAAAATGAGAATGCCAGAGGAAAATATGGATACAAACCTCCTTCAGCCTAAGAACCTTCTCAAGAAATCCTTTGAAAATATCTTTCCGATCATAGAAGCACACCCAAGCTGCAACATTCTCTCGGAACTGCAAGCCATGCAAGCAATTTTTTTTTTTTTGTTAGTTATGGAGACCATATTTTTCTCCTCAGAGAATTTCAAAGTAACTGAGTTGTAGGTAATTAACTTCATAATCATGAAGCATTGATTTACAGCAGTTAAGGTTTTTAAACTTATTCCCTCTATTTTCTTCCCCTGTTGGCCAAACATCAGGAGAAACATTCTCCAATGTGACTTGGTTCCTGTCCTGTAAATACTTTGTACTAATAATTTGCCATTCAATCCATAGAAATATTGAAACCTTTTCTCAGTCTATTGTGACAAAGTAAGAAATTTTGCCAGGTTAAAATATTCTAGAAGTTTCCAAAACGGTCCAGAAAAGACTGGAGAGATCCAGAACAATCAAGAAGGCATCAGAAACTTCTAGAAATACCGGTATGATCCCAAATGACCCAGATATCTCTAGAATAGTATGGAGAGTGCTTGAAGTATCTAGATTATTCTACGAATATCTCCTCTTGTGCATTCTAGAATTCTCCTTGTAAATATCAAAGATATTTCTCGTAGATATTTATATAGAATATACTAGAGATAGAATGTACATTGTTAGATTAAATTAATACCAACCATCCATTAAGGAGATGAGAACTTTCTGGAAGAAGAGGGAGGCCTATAAATTACCCTTCACCCCTCATTTGTAACCACTCAAGCAAATCAATAAAGCTCTCAAATTCAGTCACTCAAACTCTCTACTCCCTACTTGTGTGACTAGCTCTCTTAAATCTCTTTACCTACATTGTGGCCGAACTCAAGCGGTTGATCAAGCTAAGGCCAAGTCGTGTTCCAGGGCCGTGACACTATTCCACTATAACTACTTAGTTAATGATGAGGTTCCATTGTCGTTATGACATTAGCTGCTAATTACTACAAAGAGTTTTACTCCATTTAGCAACTAATGCTGTGTGATTACTCACGGTAAGGAATTAACATGCTACGTTAACTCGAATCAAAGCTATTGAAAAAGCAGAATACCTTCTCATTCACCATGAGTATCATGGACATGACGTGCTCGAAAGTGGCAGTCTCTGGATCGAAATTTGGCCACAAATAATTCTCCAAATACTGACTAACCTCCAGAATCATAACCCTTTGCAGTGGAACGGGTTTATGACCCTCCTTAACCAGCAACTCTGTCTCATAAATTTTCTTAACCAGTTCCGGATCAAAAGGGTTCTTGGGCCGAGCAGGGTCACCTGTTCTCAACCAGTTATCCTCGGCAATCTTAGTAAGTCGATCCCGTTGTATCTCCGAAAGAGTAATAGTGCTTGGAAGAGTAGCCCCAGGCTTGGTCTCCACTTTCTCAGCTACCGGGTACTCAGCAACTCTGTGACGACGAAAGTCGAATAATCCAGTTCCGTATACCCGCGTCATTGCGAAACCACAGAAAATCCAAAATTGGAGAGCGACCTCGATTATAATTCAGAGATTATAGGCTTTCTAGCGGGTAGTGGAATAGTAGACTCAAGCTTCGGAACTCAGGGGTGGAAAAATAGAAACCCTAGTTCGCACTTATGACAAACAAGCCATTACCTTCAAGACTTCAATAATGGATGAGAAGGAGGCAAGGCAAAAGTAGCCGCCTTGCATGGATTTGTCTGTCCCGCGATGCACCAGTAGGGATTGAACGGCAACACAGCTCAGTTCAGAGCTGCCAAAGCCCAAAGGGGTTCAGAGGCGGAACGCCACATATAGTCTGTTGATCGAGGTCAGTTGAGCCTACTTAATCAGCCGACGTCGTTTTATATGGGACAATCTGACCCATCCATTCTTTCGAGAAATCCTGACCCTCGGTAAATGAAAAACTACAATCCCACCCTTTTGGATATGGTGGTTTGTTTAAAATTAAAAAAATATGTGATTTATATATTTTAGATGGTTTATATAATTTATAAAAAAGCAAGTATATTTAATATATTTTTATTTAATTAAATCAAGCTACGTGAGTTTAATGTGTTAATGATATTAATAATGAGAATCTGTTATAAAATAAAAAGAATCTATAATAGATACATATATTTAAATATATAAGTTAAGTGTAAAATCTCCCTTATTAATTCACAATTGACTCTAAAATTGAGGTAATTATGAGACTAACTCAAGTAAATTATTAAGTTGGCAAAATTTATATAAATGAGATTCCAAGTTATGAAAACTTAAAATGTTATAAAATTATTTCATAAATAAAAAGTAGAGCAAAACATTTATATGGAAGCATGGACATCATACAAAATAAAATAACATCAAATTGGGGTCAAAAGTAAAAATAATTATTTTAGAACAATACGCCGCGGCATAAATTGCAGAACCCACGACATATTGTTCGGTTGAACTTTTGACGCATCCTAAATCTCCGTCCAATATCTGATTGAAATGACCTAAATGTTTATGGAAAGTTCATTTAATAAACTAACTAATGGCACTGGTCTTATTTATAATTCTATCATATCAAAAAGTTGGATAGTCAAGACTAAAACTACTACTTTCTTACATTTTTTAACTTTCAAAGTGTCCAAAACCCAATAAAAGTACCATTAACCCATATGACCATCCAAACCATATTCAAGAGATTTAAGATGACTTATGAAACACACCACATTAATTAGATATCACATATTTTATAAATTTAACTCTCAACCCCTTGATTTCAGAAATAGTAAGGGAAAGCATTTTAACTTCAAAACTCAATATAATTCAATACAAACATGCATACAGTCAAATTTATACTTACACTGGTATTTTGACCTTACTCATATATCTCAACTAAAAAGATACTACATGCACTAGGACCCGAAATACTCCTTTCAATACTCAATATTTAATGGTGCAAATATAATAAAATATAAACATCTTAATTGGCAAAATCAATTAATTACACATATGTATCTAAAATTATGAGAGGCCTATAATAGGAAATCAAGTTTCTAAGTCTCAGGTGCTTTTCCTTTATCATGCATGGAACTAGTGCCTGTAAAATGTTAAATAAAAAAGTGAGCACAACTATTCAATAATCAAAGTTAATCTAGTATATATAAATGCATGTTAATTAATCACAGCAATACAAATGCCAATGCAAATGGCATATTCAAATGAAACATATTAACATATTAAACTACCCAATTCAGATAGTTAAAAAATTAACAATCATGTAAAATTAGATTACTTAGCATGCAAGGGCCACATCAATAACAACCATATGCCCTTCTTAAGACATGCAAACTACAAAAATAACAACCATATAGTCATATAATAATATGTATCAAAACACATATAAGGTTGCAATACTAACAACCATGTGTTGTTGTCAAATTATGCAAACCATAATAATAACAATCATGTAGTTGAGATATGATATGCATAATGAATGCTAACTTTATACCCTCTTGATACCTCTCATAAATTTCTCAGTGAATGTATTACACACAATTTCTTAATTATTGAATTTCACTAACTGTTCACCTTTGGTTATTACTTCCATCACATATTCCATCTAATTCATATTACATTATCATCACATCAAAAGTCTCAGCAAATTCTCATAAATATGCCTAAACATATCATTTATCCACACATACATATTCATATAAACAATTTTTTTACACATGTCATTACATCAATCTTAACACATCACATAAACTTACTTATATTGTCACAATTTGCATCAAATATCGGTTTACAAACACCATTTGGTTTTCAAACAATTCAGTTAAACATATAATTAAATAACAAGCAAAAGCATAAATTAATTTTTTTCTAGTTACCTTAAATCTTTGAAAGATCAAAGATTACCCTTTAATCACAACTTGCTCTTTAGGTTAAATTCAAGCTTACAAGTGCTTCACGAGGTTAACCTACAATTAATCTTAACACCCATCATTAATAATCATCAAAACTACTACTTTCAATATCTATTTTCATGCTTATCAAATTTCTCAACTACAAGATCAATCTCACATTCAATGAGTTCATTAAGTCCCATTAACTTCATTTAACTCTCAACTACTTAAATAATCAATAATATATCATTTGATAACCCAAAATCATCATCAATGTCATAAATTACTTACTTCCAACTCTCAAGTTTCAACACCTCAATCTTGCAAAACTCTCAACTCTTAAGTTTAATCACCATACGCAGTTTATTAAATCTTATTAACTCTAATTGTAACATCATATCTAACATTATCAAACACATAAAACACCGTTATGATAATCAAAATTAGTCTAATCCCAAACAAATGGTTATCATAACACAAGAGTTTAAAGAATATTTAAGAAAAATAAAATCCTAAGAAAACTCTTTTTAAAAGATCGTTTGAGCTCAAACTATGGTTTAAAACCAAGTAAATAAGACAATGAAAGCATAAGAAAATCATTACGCTATAAAGATAATACAACAGAATGTTTCTAACTATATGGACACAGTACATCACAGCATAGTGCATCATCTGTCACGACGGACTGCACAGAAGGGAACACCCCTTCTCTGTGCCTCACACAATAGCGCGCGACCACTGTCATGACAGCTCTTTAGACCACTTCTAAGGCACACCATCTGACGTTTGATTTGAGCAATTCAAAGGTTCATACGTAACTCTTGGAGCCACCTAACTATTGGCATTAGTCCCACACCTAAACACTGAGTCAAGTAAGATTTGGATGGCCGAACCCAAAATAACTCATTTTTTTTTTCAAAAATACAACCAAGGTGCCCAAACCCCTAAACTAAGTGCCAATAACCGCGGAACTACTTGAACTAATTCAAATAGATCACAAACAACCTATTCAAGCATTTAAATCACAACCACAATAGTCCATACAAAAATTGGCCACAAAAACCCTAATTTTAACATCAATTTCATAAAGGATAACAATTTTATATAAATACTGTAATGGCCAATCAAACTTATAGATCATTACAAAACTAACACTTGCACCAGTATCTTGATCTCTTATAGTCATTACAACCCACATACACTAAACCCAGGCCTAGATACCTACAATCAAAATAGAAATCATACAAGTGTGTCACAAAATTATACACATGTCCTAAGTTAGCATATGCATATAATATTCATTACAAATCAAAAATAAATGAAAGGACTATACAATGTAGAGCTAGTCCCTTCGATACTTGGTTACACCTTCCTTTCCGTTACCTCTATTAGAGCCTTCACTTGTAAATATAACCACGAGGTAAGTCGAGGACTCAATAACTAAATAGTCTAATTAACTATTTATGTATGAGAACAGTTCGTACTTATATGAAGTGGTATAGTAAAACATATAACATGTCTTATAGACCACACATATGGTTGTGGAATAATATGCACGACCAACACACCACCTTATACCCTCCTTATGCCTTCTGACTGAATCTGTGGGTTGACAATTCAATAAAATTAAACTCATGTGACTAGACTGGCCCAAGCTCACAATTAGTAGGAGGCAGCCTTAGCCAAGAGCGCATTCGCCCATTATAAACCACAAATTCCCCTTATCCACAATGCTTAGGGGTGTCGATACCCAATCTATCACTTATAGTATTAAGACTTCCAAACAATATAATACTAAGCACCGGGGCTTCTATAATGTTAATGTACCATTTTGATTTCCAAACAATGTCTAAAAAACATACTAGGGTGAACTCTCACCCTTTCACAATGATCATGCCAAATATGTTCAATACATCCAACACATATCCATAACATATCAATTAGCATAATTTCTCATTTTCACTTTAAACTATAGAATTTCGCAAGTAATTTTACATAAAAATAACATTTAGCTTTTCAAATACAAAAGCATTAGAATAAGTTTTCATTTCACTTCACATAACTTCACAATCATAATTTTATATTATTAATAGGCTAGTATTAAACCAAAACATAACTTCTAAATCAAACAGACTACCATCCAAATGTACAAAAAAGGAGATTAGATAATTCAATTATCTTAATTCTTTTGTCATTAAAAAGGGTTATCGTGGTCTACCAATAGCTCCATATGCATCTACTAGCATCACAATGCCCGATTCAAGATTAATCTACACAATTAAACCCTTAATTGTCAAATCCTCTCACTAATTACTCTATTTATAATACAATTAGGGGTACCTATTATGCTCAGAACCTCAATTTAACCTTCCAACACATTACATTAACTCTATTTAATATCTTAACATATAAACAATGCCATCACATTACCCATATTGCTCTTAATCATCAAATTTCTACATAGAGTTCGTCTAAACCTTAACCAACAACTTTTAGATTTTTATAAAATCTAAAAAAATATGTTTAGAGGCTTGGTTTAACTTTTCAAAACCTTAACTAAAGCAATAAGTTTGTCCATTGCTAAACCACAATCGAAAACAAGCCCTTAAATGCCTTAAAGTCAGAATTTTCGTATAAAATAGAAAGGGGAAGGAAAGGGAAGCTTACCTAATGATGATTCAAACTCCAAATACTTTTAATGTGGTCTAAAGATTGTGCCCTAGCAGTCAGGATCTCCTCTCGTCACTCTCTTATTTTTCCTTCTTTCTTCCCTTTATTTCTGGTCTATTTTCACTCTCTGATAAATGCTTATTTTTTGTACGTACACCGCGACGCATTGGCTCGTTTGTTGTGATGCATAACACAGAAAGTCCCTTATAAATTTAAATCTTC